GTGCTGCACATTGGCAGGTCACCGTGGTCTGGTGATGTGCTTGATAGGGCACTTGAGATTGCACTCGCCTATTGCCATTATTGCATCGTTGTTCGATTTGATTGCTCCTGAGGAATATCTCAGAGAGTTGCCTCATTGTTTCCCGTGCGTTCGCTAATTGGGCTCACTTGCAGACATTTACCCATCCATGTGCGCGGTATTTCTTTGCGCGTAATCACTGCGCAGTGCGACCAGCACAGGAGGCGTGACATGAGATTGGTTGCCTCCGAGTTACCTGTCTAAACCTGCTGAGTGTAAGGAATCATCGGTTTGACGGAGGAAGACAGCATTGGCAAATAAACTGCAATGCGCTATGTGCGGCTATGACATTTGCTGGAAAGAACTTCTGTAACTGTGAACCGGATAACGGTGTACTGGCACTTTGCGTGTTCTGCTCTGTATGCAATTACATTATGCTACTGCGGTTTGCACAGCGCGGACTGCCGCAGCGTCTATGCGGGTTTGGTGGAAATAAGAGTCCGTACGCCACAATAACACAACCGAACCGCTCTTGGTAAACGTAGTATGCTTCGGTTGTGTTTGACCCTGGTTATTATCTATCCATTGCTCGTTCTCTGCTTGGCTCATCGGATGACTTCTACATAGTTGCCTGCGTTTCTCAACACATAATTCAAGGAAACAACGTCCCAGCTCCTGCCCACAGTAGCTGCGCCTACATGCTGAATGTTTCCGCGACATCGAAGACACTATATTCGTCACTTAACCAACCGTTAACGCGTGGTCCACTAACATTGCGAGCACTGCAGCTGCCATGGTAATTGCTATGATTTATTAGCAGTCGAGATACGACAGCCGCGTCGGCGAAGTACAAACACAGTAATATAACTACCGAGATTACGGTTGCCGATAGTACGTCCTAGTGTTGCCCAAATTGGAGAGCTGTATTGCACAAGGCAACCTTACGTGGCTTTTAAGCAAAAATATCGGTGAAAGATAAAAACAATATATCAGTGACATGATAGAGGTTTACAGATCCATTAAGTGTATTGCACGCACGTACTTCGCACTGACATGTTCCACCATTTGTTTACAATGGTGCTGCGTAACGCTGGCTCGTGCTTCGGATACAATCTTCTCAAGGAACTGGATCCTCCATTCTCTTTTACTAAGCGCACCAGCTGGATCTCCTCGCAGCATCTCGGAATATCCGCGCCGCATGGCTTGTTTGACGTTCGCCTTGATGATACTCCAAACGCCTTCTATGGGGTTCAGTGAAGGCGAATATGGCGCGAGTCGCAATAGCCTCCCTGATTGGTAACGGTCCTCTTGGAACACACGTTCCAGATCCGTGTGGCATGGTGCGTTGTCACATATCAGCAGACACCTGTCAGTAACAGCGGTGCCGTTGGCATCAAGCATTTGCCGCAACCACCGCGCACACCGTTCCCTGTTGTAACTCCCCCTTAAGACGGTATATTCCAAAAGTCCATCTACAGTCATTGCGCCGATAAGATGCAGATTTTGTCCACGAGTGCTCGCTACAGTGCACTGCGCACGTGTGCCACGTGCTGAACGCCCCCTTGTGCGAGCGCAAAACAGATTGAAATTCGTCTCATCAATCCAAACTGGTTGCCACCCTTCAGCTTCCAAGTTCATCAGCTGCAAAACGTAAGACTTCCTTCGTCTCTTGTTCTCAAACGTATTCATTGACTCCGGTATAGCATGTAGCTTTTTCATGGTAATGAGGCGACCCTCCAGGCACCGAGCTACTGTGCTGACGCTCACCTCTACATTGAGCTCCGCTTTCAATCGGAAACGAAGACACTCTAAGGTTATGGTAGGCTCCGCTTCTACCCATTCCACCAGATTATCCACGTGAATGTCAGTCAATGATTTTCGACGTGCCCCGCCACGTTTTCCTTTTGGTTCGTTGGACTCTAACGTTTTAATCCAACTTCGTCAAGTCTTCAGGTTGACATTTAACACGGATGCAACCTGCTTCCAGTCATCGCCTTCTTCATAGGTGTTCAATATTCTTGCCTTAACCTCCGCCGGATGGCGCATGCGTGGGCCTCCTCTTGATATTATGCGTAGAGTGAACTAAACGATGTTAAGTTGCACCGTATGATTACCTACCTGCAGTATTCGCGCTGCGCCGAGGTGCAACAAGTTACGGGGTAAGATGGAGACGGGTTCAAACGGAGACGTATGGGCAAGCCAACGTTGTGAGCATCAACCATACTGGGAACAGTATATATAGGGGAGCTCGTATTGGCCAATCTAAGTGCACCAACGGCGCAGAGCGGTAATGGATGGGCCACGACTAGAGCGCAGGCGGCCTTTGTTGCAAGGTTAGGGCATTCAGTGACGCAAACGCGGGACAATGGGGCATCCAGTAGCAAAGACAGGAGATTCCGTGGCACTCCCTTCAGGGCGGACAATCGTTGCTGACTTTGTGTGTCGAACGAGGCTGAACACCTCCCGAAGCGTGGTCGAGGTGTACGGCACGCCACGGTGCCGCAGGTACGTCTGGGTTAGGGAGTCATTTGGTACCCCATATATAGGTGTCACTGCAATGGCAGGTGAACTGGGAGACACTAGAGCCTGGTCCGAATGCAGACACATACTCCAAATTGACTGACGGTCTTGAACTGAGGTGCGCCATGTGTGGCCTACAGCAACAGGGTCAATTTGGGTCCACGTCATCGAGGGGTTCGGTGGGCACATGTGACACGATGTGAACGTTAGTGCTTGAAAGCAGTGCTGCCAATATGCGCATTGAGGTCAGCACATAGTTGTAGGAATCGATCGCCACTGTCTGTTCGGCGTGCATGCACTCCGAAACAGCATTCCAGGTGTTGTTCAGAGTCCGAAAGGCGACCCACTAAGACATCCATGTAACCAGCAACAATCACAGTCTCAGTAGTTCCTGGTGACGATAGAAGTGGTCCTTCATACCCTCCGAACTGCAGTCACTGGGGGCATAAACAGAAGCATTGAAAATGCACGATATCCTCAGATGGTTGTTATTTACCGCAATAGAGTTTCGAAGTCGAACAGCACACATACGGCTGTTCACTGGCATCCAGTCGAGTAGATTGCATTCTGCATGATTGCTGAGGGCGATACGGACAGCATAATAACCTTGAGCTATTTACTTCGTATTGCCAGAGGCGCTTAGAGTGTAATCGTTGTCAGCAGATTCGGAACCAGGAAGTGGAAGATTCGTCACGACGCGGTTATCTTGTATATGTGTTTCGGAGACAGCACACACCAATACCGAGGAGTGTATAGTGAGAGTTAGTGCTGCTGTTGGCCGATCTGAAAAAGTGCGTGGACGTCAAATGAACCATTGAGAAATGCGCATCTCGGTTTGATACCTTCAGTTACGAGGTCAGTGACAGTCCCTTGCGCAATAAACGGGGGAGAAGAGAGTGGTACGGGTAGAGGAGGAGAAGTGTTGGCGACCGGGTCGAGAGGGCAGATTATACTCTCCTGCTGCCCATTCCGGAAGAGGGTTGTTGGTTGAGGTGCCCTACCCCTAGCCTTTCACTCAGCAGTCTGACCCACAACACGGTCACGTATATGGAGGTACACTTGAGTGGCTCCACTCAGAACCTTTGGCTCAACAGCTTGAGCAACAATGTAGTGGGGAGCTAGTCCAACTGGAGAGCGTGATTGCAGTGTCTCATTTGTATCTGCTTGAGACCTGTCAGATACAGGCTTTGAGGATCTAGGGCAATTCATGTGTGACCACAGACAACCGCATGTGAGAATTGGCGGGTTTGTACCTATTTCATCAGGAGTTGCCTGAATTGAAGCGGGAGGTAGCAAACCATTAAGCACCGCGTGGGGCACTCCCACGATCAGAGACAATGCATGGCACTCGTGCTCTACGCCAATCGAGCTGTGAGATACTCTAAAATTTGTAGTCTCCCGTGGCTGTTCTAACGGAAGAGAACCATGAACCTCTAACTACCCTCGAAGAGGATTGTGCTGCTGAGTTAATCCGACCCCTAACCATTGAGATGCTTGGTATGAGCAGTCCTGATGGTACCTAGAAGGTGCCACCGTTCAAAGTTCAATAGGTCACGAAGTTAGGCAACCAATCGCATCAAGATAAAGTCCAGTTGCGTCGCGATGAGATTTGTTTCTCCGCTATGTCACTGTTGTACTGTGTCGTATCAGTCTGAGACTTGCCTACGCTTACTAGATCCGTTTCCACTTTTGTGACATACTACGATTTATTGATGATAACAACGCTTATTTCTCAAAAAGTTCACGATCCGTTCAACAGTTGCGCATCTGAAGGATTCAATTCTCGTAGGTAGGGTGACTACCCGCGTGTAAGATACTCTGCATATGATGTCACAGCTTCTATATCTATAGGTTCAAAACGCAGACCATACAGTCCTTTATCGTCAAACGTGACCTACGTCACTGGTTCGGGATGACGGGTTGTTTTGAGCAAACGGAAATGGCATTACAAGCTGGGAACCACCACATGAAACAAGCAATTCAAGCAACGCAACCAAAACTGAAGCACGATGTCACTGATCTGAAGCAGACTCAACGTCGGGTTTCCAAATACGTCATTGGAACGCGTCATATGAAAAGAGGCGGAAACAAGGGTATTGCCGATTAGCTGACAATCTGCTAATGAGTACATTGTTCTGAGTTAACCAAATCATGTGCGCCGCTATTTACTGCAGTTTAGAAATAACACCTAACTGAGATCATTCCTTGAAACTGGCAGAATAGTATAACCGCCCTGAGTGTTGCGGAATTCTTCTTTCGGTTTGTGTGTGTCGACCCTGGTAAAACAGAACATTTGGTCTGTTTGCAACAATACAAGTCAGGTATGAGAACGGTTGGAGGGACCAATCAGGCACTTACATGTCTTAGCAACCCCAATGGGAACCATGACGCAACGATATGAAATATTTCCCAGGATCAAGCTCAGTCGAACAACGGCCTAACAAAGGCAATAGGTGAGCGAAACCTCGGTGAGGATGTCAATGTGCACTGCGTGCACCCTCATCCTGATTCCAATCGTTACATCCATCAAACGCGGACCTTTCAACATTGCGCTCAGTGAGCATGCGACACCTCGAAATACATGGCGGTCCACATGCTCTCCACGTCCCTCCGGTGTCACTAGCCCAATTTCCATGCCAGTCGATCATCGACAACGGTATTTGTGAGCGATGTCATGTCATTATTCCCAAGGGCCAATTCATTCGCACTCATTCACCTGGGTGCGTAGGACAGATCGGCGATGAAATGGGCGGACACACCGCACAATCATACTTCACGTATAAGTGGAAATACCTGAAAAGTTAAGTGCCAACCACTATGATCGCTCGTGAGTGCTAAGCCAAGTGGCAACGTGTGAGTTTTGCGGGTATACCCTCTGGCATGTGTGTAGCTTCAGTGTAGCTAATCATGCCTGAATACAAGTCTCGAGCGCGACTAGGCACCCACCAAATCGCACGCGATCTGCGCCACACCCAAGCCTTCTCTGGTAACTCATGTCGTAAACTAGTCTGATGTGCTATTAGTTGATTTGGGATTGGCCACTCAACGAGGGGCGCGTTTTGGTGCGTTCGCGCTAGGTGGATGATATTTGATTGCCTTAAGGATAATTCTGTAAGATGTATGGATGAAACCTATTTCCTTAAAGCTGAGTTTGAAAGTGTTATGGATGCAATTGAGAAAGAGTGTAGTTAGCAGTATACTTAAAGTACCCATTGTGCGTACGCAGTGTGATAAGTAACGTCAAGTTGGGCCGTAAATCATCTCGAAGTGAGGCCCGAGATTCGTCCCAAAATAGATAGAGGTCTGAATTGTTTGAGCGGTGCAATTCCATTGTATAATTGGTGGTAATTCAAACCAAACAACAGCAGGTAAGAGACATATTATGTCTCTTACCTCGTTCCTTGTGATGTGATGTGGCACAGACGTAAAACGGACCCAAAAGATACTTAAATGATGACATAATCAAACAAGGTCGTAATCAAGATGATTGCTTACATGCTCCAAGTGCCTGAACAATTCGTGACCCTCTTGAAACGGAAGCGAAGGAATCGGTTCCAGTCTACAGCTGCCCATCATCTGCGAAGGAAGTTGGAACCAAATAAAAAGTAGAACACGTCAAGGTTCGGATTGTGAAAAACAAACAAAAAAACCACTATGTTTGGTAGGGAATTCGCTGATTGCAACCCAAAGCGAAAGGATTCAACGCAATACCGTCTGGCATGCGAGCACGGAAATATTGGAGGTTATAATAGGTACAGCCTTGCGAACAGCGGCAAGCTACCCCTAGGTTATGCTAATCAAGAAATTCCACAGATTTGTGGGACCAGCTCGGCCAAACAAGGAAGCTTGCACTTGTTTCAGTAAGATAATTCAATAAAAGAAGCAAAGGAAGTTGGATAATATGTGGTACAGATACAGTATGACGAAAAGGTAAAACGCAACCGTGTTAAACAAAACACTGTGTTGTTAACCAGAGGCTATGGTAGTGAACAAAGAGGTGGTGTTAATAGGATGATGGTCCAATGGCACGCGGCTCTAAGATAATCTGCAAAAGAATGAGGCCACAGGTTAACACATGCTTCACTTGGTAGATATCACTGGGTGGAGTGCTGTGTTTGTAGAGAGAAGCTCCGAAACTCTCCACTTCGGATGCGGACTCAGAGATCGGAACGACAGAGGTTTGCTTAAAACCACACTGAGATTGCGTGAAGTAACCCGAATATAAGGTGGGTACTCCAAGACTCAACAATGAATACTTATCTATTTATTTGCTCCATTTAATAACCGACTGCGCCCCTGACGGATACAGGATAGTAGTTACAGAATATACATTCTTGTGTGCGTAGACACTTTGTACAAAGAGCTGGATAGCGCTTCGTTGTAGTCAATAATTTACATAATGATTCACAACTTCCACTCCCGTTCAAGCGGCTTGAAATCAGCTCTCTATTCCTAATTTGCAGCATTAATTCGGTTCGCCATCCGGTTTTTCTCGTTTACCTCTGAGCCTCGTTTGGCACGCTTCAGTGGACGTGAGTGTTGAAAGGAATGAAAGTCAAGGACCGCGGATTCTGTCAATGACAAAGACTGGCACGCGGAAAGTTCGAGAATTATAAGTAACAGCATAATTTTGGTAGACAAGGTTGAGCACAAGATATGCATGGTCTGAAGAGGTTGCCACTCGCCTGTTCTCTTCTATCATTAGACCAATGCTAGAGTACGGTTCGCCCGTCTACTTTCCGACTATCCGAGGCGAGGCACAAAAGATCGAACGGGTCCAACACGTTGCTACCAGGCTCATCCCGAGTTTACGTGGCTTGGGGTATGAAGACCGGTGCGAGAAACTAGGACTCTACACCTTGTCCTACCGTCGAGTGCGAGTCGACCTCATTATGACCTACCGTATTCTACATTTCGGTGACTTCCCAATGCTAAGGTCAATGCTGTACTTACGAGCGCCATGCAGCACACGTGGACACAGATACAAACTTGTCGTGCCGGATGTGAAATGTGTTCCCCACCTACTGTGCTTCGAACGGAGAGTGGTAAACATTTGGAACAGTCTGCCTGAACATGTGATTGAGGCAACATATATGCAACAGTTCAAAACGTTGTTAGATTGGTATTTTGCCACTATTCGATTCAGAGAACGACTGCACACTTACGATGACATATCACATTTGTGAATCCTGAAATATCGTAAGTCGAATATTCTAAATATTACATGAGAACGACAATGATATTCACGGTTGACAACTTTTATAGCGTTTTGCACCATATTTCGAAAGAGTTGTACAGAATCCATTTCTACTTGCTCTATAATACAGTATTCAGTACAGATAAGTGCCTGGTGAGTATAAAGGAGTACTGCCTAGTTTGGATGTGTGGTGGGTAACCAGTGGCAGTTGCAACGAATTTCTTGATAGTAATCAATAGGTTCGAATGGTAAAACGGAGTAATTAAAGGAAAATAAGCAATAGAACTTCCATGTTGCACAGCTCGGATGAAGATCTGGTTCGCATCCACTCAGACGCTTAAGGTAAAGACATCATCATCATCATTATACATGTCAGCTAGAGATGGTAAAACACCTCCGCTATTGTACCGCAATACATAAAGGAAATACATACATACAATACATAAAGGAAAAATAAATACGACAGTTGAATGCCAGCTGAGCTACCAGCAACGGATACGCATCGTTCCGGTAAGCTACTAGCCGGCTACTAGGCAAAAACAAAAATTTAATTACGAAATAAGATCGCAGATGGAGGGAGAGGCTAAAGGGATGGGGAGGGACAAAGAAACTCACAGCAGGAACGCCACTGAGGTCGGATCCCTGCCATATCAGCAAGTGTATCCAGACAAACGTGTTCACCGTCTTTTGGACCCCAACCAGGGAGCCGTGAAGCTCCAACTGAGGCCAGCACAGAAGTGAGGGCCTTCATTCCGATGGACCAAGTCATCGCTTGGCCACCTCTCCTCTTCTTCCACCCACATCCCCGGTGAGCAAACAACGCACGTCGAGGGAGTCGGTGGGCTGGCATGCGCAACACGTAGCCCAGCCATCGGAGCCTGGTGAGTGAAATGACGGTGCGGAGCGGTTCATTCCCTTTTCCTAGGCCGTAAACAAGGCGTCGAACACGCTCGTTACTCACGCGGTGTTCCCACCAGATGTGAGCCAAACTGCGAAGGCACCGATGGTCGAACGTAACTAGCCTCTTCATGTCCGCCGATCTTAGGGGCCAGGTTTCGCAACCGTACAGTAAGGTCGAACGTACCGCTGCATTGTACACTCTACTCTTCAGGGCGAGAGTAATGTCGCGCCGTCGTCATAGGTGGCGAAGGTTAGCAAAAGCACTTCGAGCTTTCGCTATGCGGTTCGTGATCTCGTCTTCGATCCCAAGGGCGCTGATACAACTTCCCAGGTAATTGAATTTCTGAACGACTTCTAGCTGATCCCCACCAAGGGTCAGCACAGAGGGCGAACCCTGCCAATCCTGGAGGAACGCTTTGCACTTCGGTGGTGCAAAGCAAAGCCCGAAGCGACTGGCAGCCAGTGCTAATCTGTCCAGCGCAGCTTGACACGTCTGGGAGCTGTCACAGATGAGGGCAATGTCGTCTGCATACTCTAAGTCAAGAAGTCGTTCTCCTGGGAGTAGCTCCACACCTTCCAAGTCATGTCCTGTAAATGCAATCTCCATGACTTCGTCAATAGCGAAGTTGAATAGGAAAGGTGACAGCGGGCATCCTTGTCTCACACCGCTGGAGATATTGAAGGGTGGCGACAGCCTACTGTAAGCCCTTACTCTGCCCGTGCTACGCGCATATAATGCTTGGATAATATTTACATATTTCTCGGGCACACCTTTCCTGAGTAGACAATTCCAAAGGGCACATCGATCAACCGAATCGAAGGCACCTTTGATGTCGAGGAACACGACTACGGTGGGCCGCCAATATGTGTGACGGTGCTCCAACAACTGACGCAAGGTGAAGATGTGGTCGATGCAGCCACGACCCCGACGAAACCCGGCTTGCTCCTCACGAATCTGGCTTTCATGAGCGCCAGTCAGTCTGTGGAGAATTATGGACGCGAGTAATTTGGAGGCGATGGAGATCAGACTGATTCCTCTATGGTTGCCGATTTCCGAGCGCGAGCCGCCTTTGAAGATGGGAAGAATAACGGAGCGGCTCCAGTCGGTTGGGACAGTTTCCTGCTCCCACAGTTTCACTAGTAATTCATGCAAAGCATCAACAAGAGCAGAGCCTCCAAATGTGAAGAGGGCTGGAGGAAGATCATCTGGTCCCGCGGCTTTGTTCAACTTCAACAGTCCGATCTCACGCTCGAGTTCTGAGCGAGAGGGTGGATTCAAAGGGACAGCCCACGGAGCGGGGCGATCAGTGACCGGCGAATAATCGAACAATTCTTGCCGATTAAATTGCTTTTCAAAATGCTCAGCCCAACGCTCCAGACGTTTTGACAAATTGTGGATAGGCTGTCCACTCTCGTCACGTATAGTTTCACTAACACCAGGTCTCCTGCTGCCCGTTTCCCGTATCAGACGGAATAACTTACGATGATTGCCAAGGGCAGCGGCCACTTCCATCTCTGACGCACGATGAGACCACCAACATTCGCGGTCTCTCTTCAGGCTAGCACGGAGTTTTGCCCGGAGCTCTTTGCGAGTTTCATTGTGCTCGCTTCCAGCCGGGATTTGCCGGCGAGCATCTATAAGTTCCAAAGACTGCGAAGAGACCCAATGTCCATGTTGTCTATTAGACATACCACATGAGGATTTGCCTGCTGCTAGTAAGGTCTGGCGAACATGTGACCAGTGACCATCAATTGTCTCCTGTGAGCGCTTGCTCAACTCGCATGTTAGCGTACTTCGATACGCATTCAGAACAGCTGATTTTGTCAGTTGGCTGGTGTCAATACGCTCACAGCGTCGTCGTGGGCGTCCGCCAAAACGCATCCGCATGTCAGCACATACAAGTGCATGATCGGTGTCCACACATGTGCTCCAAATCGAGCGACAATTCTGGATGCAGCCTCTCCAGCGGTAACTAACAGCAATGTGATCGATCTGCGTGCAAGGCTGGTTCGAGGTTGGTGGGCGCCAAGTCACCCTCCGGCGGGTGCTGTGTCGGAAATTAGTGCTCGCAAGAAATAAGCAAGCATCTTCACACAAATGAAGTAACCGCTCACCGTTTTCATTACGGGAGCCTACACCGTGTTGACCGCCCAGATGCAGTTCATCAGTGGACAACTTTCCAACTTGTGCGTTCATATCCCCCGCCAGCACAACAGTGTCCGTGCTTCTTCTGTGGCGAAGGAGCTGGGTCAGTTGGCGGTAGAAGTCGTTCTTTACCGAATCATCGCTACAGTTTGTGGGCGCATAGGCAGCGATGATGAATAGACATCTATTAGTCCCGCGCGACTTCGAAGCTTTAAACGAGCCAGCCAATCGGACCGCACACATCCGGCTACTGATTGGAATCCAATCAACCAGAGCAGCTTCAGCCCGGGGACTCAGGGCAATACCAACACCGGCTTGGCCTGGTGCTCGAAGCTGCATCGTCACCGGATAGGCGCAAGGAGAAAATACTGCTTGCGTCCCCTGAAGGGGATCGCAGAGTGAGCACAGTGCTCGAGTCTTGCAGGCGAGTCTCTGATAAGCAGCAGATATCGATCGAGAGGGTCTCCAATGTTCGGGCAAGTGCTGCCTGTTGACCGATTTGTAGCAGTGTGCGTACATTGAGGCATGCCAATCTGAAGGAGGATCGAGGGCTCCAAATGGAAGCCGATGAACTGGATTGGACCGCTTGGTTGGACATGGGCTTGTCGACAGGAGAGGAGTGACGCTCCGCGTTCACGTGTGAGTTGAAATTAGAAGGTAAATGCCTAGCAAAGCATGTTGGGGGAGGGCCAAGAATCGGGGGGTTAAAAACTGGGGGATATAAGTGAAGTTGGAATGGGACGGTAAGAGTGAAAAAGCGTAAGAGGGGGAATAAGAAGACCGGAAGGCTTGAGCAGTAGCATCCAAACCCCTATCCACCCTGCTCGATGCAGCAGATAGGGCACCGTTGATTATCCTCTGCGGTGGCCAGAGCATCAAGAAATTGTTTGAAGGAAAATTCATAGTATTGCGTGGGCAAGATACTGTCAGGTTGCCCAGGCCTAGACAGGAGAACGATTAGGGTTCTCAACCAAAGCCTTTGGTTCAAAAACCTGACCGCAAGGCAGCGGGTTTGGCGTTGGGCTACAAGCAATCCATTTTAAGGAATAAGGTGCCACCCTCATTCCAACCCCCAACCTGGAGGACCAGGAGGCTGAGTTTGTCTGGCCTCTAACCATTGACCAATCTGGTATGAGTGCCTCTGAAGGTGCAAAAGCACCACCCAGCATAGCTCAATGGATCGCTGAGGCACACAAACCATCGCACCACGGTAAGGTACAGCCTCATTGCGATGGTAAAGACAAGGCAGTCAGGCATCCGACTGCTGAGATCGAGGTTAACGGCGCCCCAAATTCCCATGCCGTCTCAATGATGGAAGCGAGGGGGTAGATTTCAAGGTGAATTATGTCACAAACGGAGACTGTTGCAACCGAAACATAAGATGAGTGATCCAAAATGAACAGAAGTGAGCAGTGAACTTTGCAAGTTAGCTCTCTAGAACCGAACAAAACCATGGATCCCGGTCAAATGTGAATGTCTTAGATGGAGTAGGAAAACCCAGTTCTGTAAAGTCGAGTGTTCACTAAAGTAAAACTGCAACGATTGACATCTTCATCGATGTCTGGCAAGTGAGAATATCGCATGGGAGCAATTGAGCGGGTTACGCAGGAATAAGTAAAGAAAAACATGTGATGCTGGCACCAGATAATTAAGTCAAAAGGCTAAATAAGTCAACATCGACAGCAGCACATCAGTCATTCGAACTGATGCTTCGCTGCCATACAACCACAAGGATATATGAAAAATAGTATATTAAAAGGAAGAGAAAGGGGACTTACCGGAAAACCTTAATGCTTTAAGCTAACATTCAGGATCAAGGCGCATACACCTTGTGCCAACAACCTATCGTCACAAACAGCTGCCTGTAGTGCAAATGCAGCAAAAATCATACAGATACCGTGCGGCTCACACTTACCCGCGTCACAATCAACTAGCACACCGCAAATAACAGCAGCAAACACAGGTTAAACAGGCAGCCCGATAAGCAGACGGCAGCAGACGCACCACTAACAAAAACGTCTCGAGCGGAGCTCAAATCAGGTCGCGTGCAATCCAGATTGCACTGAGTTTGATCGTCAGTGATTTCATTCGCCGTTGCCAAGATAACTTCTGTGACATCGGAACATATGCGCCAGCTAAACAAAACAGGACGGCTTCATCCGTCCTATAGTTTCTATCTCCAACCTCCGTAGGTAAATTTGACTAAAGCTACGTAAACCGCTCAGCTACCTGGAGACTTCATAGAGAATAATCGTTGGAAAACGTGTAGTTCAAGAAAAGTCCAGTGTCAACAGCGTACTAACTGCGTCAAAGATGCATGGAAGCCAACGAAATGTATGGGAATGCAAAAAACTGAAGCAAGCGAAGTAACCTGGCCAACGAGCAGACTGCAACTCGAAACGACACCTACCCGATTCGTGTCCAAATCCACCAACCAAACATCGGGTGGAATGACAAAGTGCTTCTTCAATGATAAGAAGTTGGCCGGGATGCCGATGAGGTAGGGAGTAGGCGAGAGGAGAAGCTGGAAGAAACAGAACATCTCGAATGGGAAGGAACACCGTGACAAATAGAAGTTTCGATTGATTATAACAACAGTAACTGTATTGGTGCAGTTTCAGAATTTGTGATGCAAAATCAAGTGAGACGATATAGATAAATATGAATGGGGGAAATAACGCTGACAAGTTAGTACTTAAAACTGTTCGGTTAGCGTTTTGGAGGATAAACGGGTTGGTACTAATGAGCGGTTCGATGTCGGCAACCAACACGCAACTCTGTGGCATTATTGAGTTAAAGTATATAGAACTAAGATTGGCTTACATTTTCGGCGCCTTCTAAGCTGGTCGGCAACAAGGGGATTGCTGGAAACATGTATTGCAGTGGATAGAGCATAGCAATAAAGGCCATCACGGACATCGTAAGAGAGTTGTAGTCTCGAGACTGGAGCAACACCTAAAAATAAGAAGCAGCTTATAAGGGGAATGGTAGGACAACATGTATAAGGTAAACAGGTCCCAACCAATGTGGGTAGTTTAAGCACAAAATATGGCCTAGTGCTGCACCACAGGGTGTGCTACTACAGGCTGGTGGACGACAACATAACTCAGTATGCGGATCCCTTTAGATATCAGAAACGGCACTCCCACACTAGCTCTCAAAGACGACCGGTCGCCTAAAGCGCTCAGCGCGAAAAGCTCCGGTCTATGAGTTACAGGGCAACACCAGATGTACTATCAGATTAGTATGCGACAGAAAGGGGAAATATGGCTGACATTAAAGGCAAAGTGTTCAAAATGCACATGATTCTTGTCGATCAGTAAAGCAACCTACTCGGTGATGTGGAAACTCATTAGTTTACCGAGCCTGGTAATTTCGTTGTAGACGTTGCGTCCCCAATAGAGGTGACATCAGCAGTGCAGAATTGGTCGTACCAGGCAAATTCAGGAACGGATGATACCATTTACTGTATAGTTTATTAAAGAGATTATCGACAATGTTAGTCGCACTTCCTTCTGATTGGTTGTTCATCGATGTAGTCAAGGGGATTAGCTTGATTTTGATTTGCTAAAGGTATAAGCTTCCGATGTGTGGAAATACTAACGGTTCCATTGCCTTCCGTTGGCAAGTTCTCCTGAATGTCTATCGACGTACTCAATGGAATCAAAACTAATAGAAATACCTAGATAAGTGAATCGCTCAACCAGATCAAATTGTCAATTCGCAGAATTGAGAATCGCCGAAGAAACAACTCGCTCATAAATCAATGCTTTGAACTTTCGGATAGCGGTAGTCTGTCTTAGCGTGTGGCGCTCTGACGTCAGTACAACGGCGCAAGGGGTATGTATAAACAGTCAAATCGGAAAGGGAAGAACCAACTGTGGACTATACGACCCAACACAGGTTGAAAATGCACAAACCAAAAGCGCAAGTGTAACAGAACGCAGAAGCGGCTAGTGACGAAGCCTGCGAGCATGGCGGCACCAAGAGACGTTCGGGAATACAATGGCAGCGATACTCAACAGAACAAAGACGGGTGGCATCATCACCATTAACAACAACAGCAGTAGAATAGCCATACGAACTGATGCTTCGCTGCCACACTGAATGTGTCAGCAATACGGCGGCAGGCCGCACCGACGCTTCGTTGTCCCGCAGCTAACACCGGTTGCACGTGGGCTAAGGACTGCGAGGGTCGTCCGACCCCTACGCAGGCTCAAAACCGCGCTGTCAGATTACAAGACAAGCTAGGTACCTTTAGACCACAGGCTGCCACACAACCACAATGACTTAAGAAGAATAATACGAGAAAGCAAAAGGGGGATTCACCGGAAAACCTTAATGCTTTAAGCAAAGATTCGGAGTCAACGCGTCTACAACTTGGCCAACAACATGCCGTCATAAACTGCTGCCTATGGTGCAAATGCAGCTTCAGTGAGACAGCTTCCGTGTGGTCTAGACTGCCCCGCGTCACAATCAGTCATTAGCAACCAAACAACTCAACACTAAACAAATTTTAAACAAGCAATCCGATAAGCAGACGGCAGACACGCTACTGGTGTTGGCTGCGTGCTATGCCGTCTAATGTCTCAAGCCAAGCACAAGGCAGATCACATGGACTCCAGATTGGAAAGCAAGACGGATCGACGGCGCCGAGTTTGGTCGACAATGACATCATTTCCCGGTGACCAACAATGCCAACGCAAGTTATTCAGTGCTATCTGTTGTTCTAAAGAACTAGCATAATTATCAATGCCTAGCACCCGCCCACGCACATCATCGTTGTGGACACGCTGGTGCCAACCAACACTAGCAATGATCCGCAGACAGCGATGATCGGAGAATTGAAGGCGCCTCAGATAGAAAAGGCCAAGTCACACTCCCATAGAGTGGGATGGCCACCATTGTGGCTTGTAAACACGGCCTTTCAGGGGGGAAACTACTTTCAGTCGTCAAAGATTTCACATATTCAAAAAGATACTTCTGGCTTTTGCAATGCGTGAACTCACTTCCGTGCGTACGCGCCCATTGCTGCTGATGCAGCAGTCAAGGTAAGTGACGTGATCAACTACCTCGAGTTCATGCTATCAAGGGATCATCAAATGGCTAGTGATTTTGCAACAACACTATGTACTTTGAAGACGCGAAACGCATGCCGAATGATGGGAGCAATCTAGAGAGGTCATCCATGGTTGATTGCGCCACCCCAACATCGCTAAACAGCGACACAATATCATCCGCATAATCAAGATCAACTAACTTTTCACCACGCAGCACCTAAACCCATACATCTTAAGATTCCACAAGAGAACACTCCATGATGGGGTCCATGATGAAATTGAAAAGATGGGGAAATTGGACAACCCTGACCAACGTCACTTGTTGTCATAAAGATATCCGACAGGTCACCGTAGAACCTGACGCGACTTGTAGTGTTCGAGTATAGGGCACGTAAAATGTTCACATATTTCGTGAGAACACCTTTCCGCACAAGTATCTTGAGTAGGATGCATCGACCGAATGAATCAAGCACACCCTTAAAATTGAGGAACACTGGTATGGCAGGTCTGCGATATGCGTGGCGCTGTTCTAGCACTTGTCGCTAAGTCTATACAGTCTCGTACTGGATGGAAACCTGTCTGCCCTTCCATAATGCGGGATTCCCATTCAGCAGTAAAGCGACGAACGAGAATTGAGGCCAGTAATTTTGGCACTACTGCGTGAGACTAATACTCCTGTAGTTAGCACAGTCCGTGTGACAGTCCTTCTTGTGTATTACCACTATAATCGATTTACACAAGTTGACTGGGATATATATATATATATATATATATATATATATATATATATATATATATATATATATATATGTAGTTCAGTATGTGCCATTTGTATGCGTGCATTCGAAGGTCAGCCGTCAGACAAACCTGGAGCAGTGAGTATAAATGGTAGTGAGTAAAAGTGTCCTGAGTTAAAAGTAATCGATCTATCGATCGATCTCTGGCACCGCTTGTGCTACTGTGGCCCGCAAATGTCACAACCGAGGGAAAGCGAAACAGGAGGCTCTGCTATATGGCAAGAGTCCTGATAAAATGAGAGAGAATTATTCTAGCCAGTAACAATATCTTCCAGAGTTGATCAACTGGGATGAGCCCAAAGCAGCTTTGAGTATAACGAGCTTAACAATCTCCTTGTAAAGTCCCGAATCGGTCATTTTATCGATTGAACGGAATTTGGCAGTTGACCAGGAAACCAAGTAAAGTGGATCTTTAGCGAACGATGCTGAATGAAGATACGTTCATTACCACTATGCACATTAGCTAGTTGTGGAAAACAATTCAGGTATTGTGCCTCAATATGGAAGAAAAAAACCTGCAACTGAGGCACGTCAGCTGAGCCACCAGTAACGGATGGGCATCGCTCCGGAAAGCTACCAGCCGGTATTGTGCAGCAAAAAAAGTATATTAAGTGAAATTTATAATGTGCCAGGAAATGAGATTGTGGTTGGAAGACGCTAAGCGGGAGGGGGAAAGACAAATAAATTCACAACACAAACGCCAATTGAGGTAGGCTCCTAGCCATGTCGGCTAGTGTATCCAGCCAAACGTCGTCTTTCGGACGTGGGGAGAAATGTATAATTGTATTGCGCAGGCGGAATACTGTGAGGTCGCGTAGGCTTAAACAGGAGAACGATTAGGGTTATCAACCGAAGCCACTGGTTTAAAAATCTGATTGCGAAGCAGCGGGCTATAAGGAGTCCGTTTAAAGGAATAAGGAGCCAACCGCACGCCAACCCCCAACCTGGAGGCTGAGTTTGTCTGACCTTTAACCATTGAGCAATCTGGAATGAGTGATTCTGAAGTTGCGAAAAGCACAACTCAGCACAGCTCAATGGATCACTGAGGCACCCAAACCATCGCACCACGGTAAGGTTCAACCACATCATGATGAAAAGATACGGCTAAAATTCTGTTCTAAAGAAACCTTACACGAGTCTCGGAAAAATAACTACTCTGGAAGGCCAGTCGGTGGAAAGCCATGTAGGACAGAAGTTTCGGTGAACGCAAGTCGATCGAAAGGGAATGCACAACCATTTGTATAGCAACTGGGCTCCAGGTTATCCAGCTACAAATAAGAAGTTCCCAATGGAAAGCAGCAGAAGACGAAAAGTCAAGAAGTGGATTGCAAAATGGTGTGGCTGCAAGTGGGGAACTGAGCGAGGCTAAGAACTCATCAATGAGTTAAAGGATACAGCAGTGGGAAAATGTGAGAATAACATGAAAATAAAGCTAGCGATAGAGCAACACATATACAAGAGCAATAAATGATAAGAAGTGAGGTGACAAACACTAAGGAGGCCATAGAGACAGGTGAACAATGATAGAAAAGGTTTAAGATACAACAATCCTTCGTTAGCAGCACCCACTTTGTTTAAAATAGCCGCAAATTAGCGATAAACGGTAAAATTCACGACATGCGGACCAGATACTTGAACGGTTACAAAACTCCGACTTACTGGGCTGTTCCGAAACCAACTGAAACTTTAGCACATATTTTCAATCAAGACTTATTACAAACAAGCAACAATATCTGCTTAGATGGCGAATACTTTCCGGGTTACTCATGAAAATTCAGTATAGCAAACAAGCTCATTTTCGGTGATTCATTATCAGGTTAAACACCAAAAATTTAAATAGTTAACATAGAACAGGTTAAAGCACGTATTAGGATTTCAGTAACAGACGTGAAAGCCGTGTTTCGACTGGTTCCCACGATTGGGTGTGCGACAGCTGGCTAGGGATGAGAGCCAGGGTCCTCAAAAATCGTTTGCCAGCATAGAGGAGGGTGATGAGGACAGATGGCGATCGCCTATGCCATTGCAGGTATGCGGCATTTGGGCAGTTTGGATCCGACTCACCTCACGCGCTAACCTGTTCTTACGAAGTCGTGGTAGG